GGATAAACCTAAGCAATTTTCGTGGTCCAAAGTGTCCCTCCATTTGTTAGGGCTATGAGTAAGATTACAACTTTCATGCTTTATCTATGGACAGATGTTGAGAAATAGCTGAATGGATGAAAATCTTATGTTTTTAATTGAATAGGTATCAGATATGTGTGCACATGAATGTGTGTGTGTGTGCATATCTCTTGGATTAATTTCTCATGTTTGCTCCATGCAATATAGTTTGTGATTTTGCAGTGAACATTTATGTATATATAGTTTTTGGATTATTCAAAACTGTTCATATGAGATGTGCTTGACTGAAAACTAGTTGCCATGTCTGAAAGATTCAAAGTTATTTTAATTTTAGAAGAAGGATGTGGAAACCATTTGTACTATATAGATAAAAATCTATCAATAGATAGAGCTAAAACTCAGTGCAAAATCAAATTTTATCTCAGCAGCTGATGGCTTTTGTAGGGATAGACATCCATGAATATTCGCTTTCTGACAAAAGGGTTGTTCCTGCTAAATGGAGTGGTTCAGGCAAAGAAAGGCTAAAGTATTAATCCTGAATGTGGTGAAAGAACTGAGAAGAGAAATCAAATGGTTTATTGTGTTTTTTAAATATGTGTATTCTTTTCTTCCTTGTGTATATTAGTGTTTTTCTAAAAACTACAAAAAACAGGAATATGGTATCTGATTTTGGATGTGGAGTGTTCCCTAAACTATTGTCTTACCAGATTCTTTAATTCTGCAGGTGTTAGGAATGTGTATATTCCCTTCACATATTTTTATAAATAATTAGTTAATTTTGTGGGGTTTTTTTCTCTTAAAAATTACAGAAGACTGTCAAAAGCAACTTTCTTTTTTCTGTTATAGGCAGAGACCACTATTCAATACTGTCTAGAAGGACAATAGCACTCAAAATCTAACTTTCAGCTGTTTCCTAGGTAACAGAGATACTGCTACAAAACTGTTCAACTGAATGGAAGGAAACAGCAAATGTTTCCATTTTTCTACTATTTTTGAGTTTGAATGAAGTAAACCTTAGAAATTGCTTCAGAGAGTGCAAGATATGGAACTGGAGACCTGCACTTAGATTCCATTGTTTGTTTTGTTACTTTTAAGTTTCTGCACAACTTCTGTGATTGCAAAGAAAATGTCAGAGAACTTGTGAAATAAATCATAGCAGAGTTTTTTTTATTTAGTTTTTTGGGGGTTTTTTGTTTGTTTTTTTTTGTTTTGGTGTGGTTTATTGGTTTGTTTTTTTGACATAAACTGCTGTGTAGTATAAATGGTCCTTTCCAAGAATGAAACAACCAGAAAAGCAAATTTTGTGTTTTCTTGTTCTATTATTACTTTCTAGGAATTTTTCAGAAAATAGCTGTTTATTCTTTTAGGAATTCTCATTCAAAAATGAAAGAAAAACATACTAGAAAGCTGAATTGAGTAAATTATGTACAAATAGGTTACCCTTTCATGTATGTGGCTAATTATATGGAATTTAGTAGGCCTTTTTGGAAGTAATATAATTGTAGTATATTCCCAGTAGTTCATCTTTTTCAGTTTTGTTAAGCGTAAATTACTTTTCCTCTCAATAAAGGCTGACATACTTAATCCCTATTTACCATTTGTGTGTCACTGAGACAACTATTTCACAACTAATGCTTACTAAATTAGAACATAAATAAAGCCACTGAGTTTTTCTCTGCGCTGCTGCTCCAGCCTGAGGGAGGTCTCCTCTAAACAGAGCCTCATTCTTGTAATTTAAACATCAGCTTCACATTTCCTCAAAAGTAAAAAGGCAGTCATGACAATAAGAGAACAATTCATTAATGAAATCGTGCCCTGTGTTCACTAGGAGTCTCTCATTGTTTCCTTGTGATTCCCTTATCTGTCAGTAACATCCATCCATCATGTTTGTCCTTAAATTCCATATGTTGCTGTAAAGACTACTTTCAATTATATATAAAATTAAAAGGTTTTAATGTAGTATAGCTGCAAAAACCTGGTTTACTAGAACTGTGATTAGCTAAGATCATAAACTGAAGGTTCATCTCTCACTTGCTTAAAGGGATTAAAGGCATTATTAAAATAATAGTAATATTTAGTAGTAAATATTACTATTAAATCGTATTAAATTGCATAATCATTAATAAATATTACTACCAAATAATATTCTATTACATAGTAATTTAATATTATTTTTAGCAAAATATACATGTAGTGGTCCTAACAGATTGCTTTGCTTAACTTTTGAATGAAGCTTTTCTAAAAGGAAGTACCCAAGTGGCAGTAGCAGTCTCTCAGATGATTTTGTATTAGGCAATATTGATGTTTTATATTAAAAAATGATACAAATATTTTTCTCTTCTGGGAAAATTTATAAATAGTTTATAAACATGCAATATGTATGTCTGTCACTGTCTTATATGACTTATACTAGCCATAGAACTTTCTGCTATGCAAGGAGAAGTATACAAAAAAAAGAAATGTTATGGAAAATATGTTTTCTGAATTATTTTATCGCTGAACAGGAGTTGTTACAGAATACATTAGTTTATTTTAACTTAAGTTTTAGATGTAAAGTGAATGTCTAAGGTACATTCAAATATCTTTCCTGGACTACTATCAAACTTCCTTTACAACTTTTTTTCCATAAACTGTATTTTGAATTAAAACTAGGAAATGCAACTAATTGTTGCAATGTTTTTCATGATCATTTGATGCATAAATTTAATTGTTTTTCCTCTAAATTTACATGGCTTGTAAAATCACTCATGGAAATATTTGTGCAATTTTCACAAAAGTTGTCCAGAGTTTATAATTAAATAATCTTCAGTATTCAAATGAACATTAGCATCATTATTGCCTTTGTAGAGATGAGAATCTCTTTTCAATTCTTGAGCAATCATTAAAGGGAGAAATGGTTCACATGGTTCTGTGCTTCAAGGGAAAAAAATTGTAGCTGTGAGTTTCTTTTTTAAACTCAGACATGAAGCAACTTGTCAATGCTACTGTGACAAATCTGTGATTTAACAGATATTAAGAAGCTAACTCTTTTACTATGTTCTCTATCTCTGAAGAATAGCTCTTCGCAGGTTTGAACTTGCAGAATGAGACTGATCATTTACAGGGACTAAAATCTGAATGTGGCAGCTAGCTCTGAGCAGTACGCTGTCAAACAGGATTTGTCTTGTCATCCCAGCCCTGCCACGAGCGCAGGGAAAATGGTGTTTGCCATCACCTGCAGCTGAGTGAGGCCAGACTGTCTTTTCGAGGACACCACAGCCAGCAAAGTTATCTAGGGGAGACAAAGATGATGCTTGTTTTCTGGCCCAGTCTCTTGGAGTCCACCCAAATGAATTAGAGTATGTTCAAGTTAAATGCTCTTTTCCCTCCCCACCACCTGGAGCCCGCACCTATTCAGATGGCAAGGTTTGCTCACCGCAGCTTCAGAATGCCTGAGGAATAAACATGCTTCCCTACTGAGTATTTCTGCATTAGACCCCTGAGAAGCAGTCATGCAGAACCCAACTCTTACAAATTGTATGGCCTCAATCTTCGTGCCCCTGGCAGATGAGGACAAATATGCAAATACTATGCATAGCTTCGGCTGTCAGTTAAATACAGTTTGGGTTTGTCTATTTCTGTTACTTAAATAGCTACATAACAGTTGGTGGCTTTTAGAAAAACCAAAACAAAAAAGGCTAGAGTGGTTTTGAGTCAAAAAAACACATTTTTTTCTTCCATGATTTAATTTCCATCATAAATCCTTCTCTTCTAGAGCTGAGTCTTTCTAGGAGAGTAAGAAGCATTTAGAAACTTTCTTCATTTAGTAATGGATGTCAAGGTATTCACAGTGTCACCATAATGATGCATATACCATTAAATATACCAAAATAATGAATTCCAGTCCAATACATGTAAATTAGATGCTTAAAAGATACACTTGCAAAACAAAAGTGCCTATGCAGTTTACATGAAGTAAATAGTTGTTTGTCATAAATCCTTGAATCTTCAGAATAGTGACTAAAAAGCAGATTGTAAAATAGCTTTCTTTGCTAATCAGTATATTGCTCTAAGTGTTGAATTCACTACTTGAAGTTAAGTATTGGCTAACTGCAAATATACATCTGCAACAAATACTTGGTATTATGCTGGTACACATTTATATGTCTCATCTTATAAAAAACCCTTTCAAAATCCTAAGGTTATCTTAATAAAAAAAACCCCAAACAAACCCTTTTAAAGCCCTATCCAATTTAAAATATTCAGCTACTGACATAAGACAACACCAGGCAAACATTTTGTTCTTTGGTTTATAATAAGTACTGACTGTAATCATTGTATGTAGGATATTTCTTTAACATTTTCCACTTATAGAAGACTTGATAATGAAAAGAGTAAATCAGATTTCAAAGATATCCTTTTCCTTCCTTTGGCAATCCCACTTTTTCTTGTTCAAATAAGCTTGCTATGTGCAATAAATGAAAAGGTAGAGATAGCTTATGAGCACTCAAGAGTAATTTCTGCTTTCTGAAGTCAAATATTATTATGAAATATATAGCATATATTTTTCTATCGTATTTTCAGAGGTTTTTTTTGCATACATTTCTATATTTATATGAAAAGCTTTACCAAAGATAAAACTTTAATAAATCTTCGGATGCACCTTTCCAGAATGATAAATAAAAAAAGTAGAGGCTTGGAAACTGATAAAAGTTTCCTTACTTTCTGTAAACAGAAAACCTTGTCTAAGAAAGTATCTAAAACTGCAAATTTGTTTTTATAATCATTTTTAATAATTTGAAGTCCAGACAAAGAAATGTTATGGATCAAACTACTACAGAATGAATTTTTGTTCTTTTAAAAGAACTCTGTTTATAGTGCTGTAAGAAGTTAATACACTTTTTTTTTTTTCACAGTTTTTGGTTTTGTTTTTTTCACCTTTAAACTTTTAATAGGAAATCAAGTTTCAAATAATCTTGTTTTGTGTATTTTCTTTACAGGGGATAAATGCAAACCTACTGAATACACTGAAGTGAAAAATGTGTTACTGGATCTACAAAACCAGAGATACATTGCACAAGCAAAAGATAAATCTGTTGGTGAGAAAATGGCGTTAAAGAAAGTTCTCGTAGATCAAATGTTCAATTATTTTGATTCAGACAACAGTGGACTTGTGGATGCTAACGAGTTATCTCAGGTATGGTTTAGTTTTTGTTTCTATTAGCACAGTGACTAATCAAATGTCTTTTTCAGGACATGCTCACTGGGAATATCATGTCTTAGGATACTTTAGAAAATGTGAGTCTCCGAGTGGAAAATTTCATTTGAGAATTTTTGAATGGCTGAATTACTCAGAAATTCTGTAGTGTTTATGGTGAAATTTGCATATAATGCTTTGAAGCATACTGCAGTGTGTTAGAACACTCTGGACTGCTGTTACCATGAGTTGTTTTATTATCAACTCCTTGCTATCATCCAGTTCAACTGTATAGATGTATTTTAGAAATTGAAAATTATTAAAATAATGAGGTAAATAACTTCTGTAATATTAAAGCAGCATTTACTTTAGCAAATAAATAAAAAAATAAGAAAAATAAATAAGCAAATAAAGCAGTTGCTTTATCTTAGGGCTAGAGAAATACAGAAGAAATTTTGCAATGAGAATTCATGGGGGTTTCTAAATTGCAAATTTTAACTTATTACAGATCTAAACCAGTAATTGCTGCTCTGGTAGGCATAACAGCACTAGCTTTAATCTACCTAAAAGGATTGATTCTATTAGAGAGTGTTAATGGAGCAAATGTACTTTGATTTACTAGAAGTCTGTGTTTGAGAAACCTAATCATGGCTAAACTTATATTGTATATATATATTATATTAATGAGTCTAATACTAGGCAGCCAATTAAAAGTTTAAAAGGAGGATTTTTTAGATGTGGACATTGATCCACATCTAAAAAATCCTGTGTTTTAAGTTACATGGCAGAGTGAAGAAATAGGCTGGAGTTATCATTTCCATTACAGTTAACTTTTAAAATTTTAGTCGCAATTTCAAGGACCAGAGGGTGATTATAAATATAGGTATTGTGTCAACTACTATTATTATTTCAAATTAGTAATTTAAAAATATTTTTCTGTACTTTTCTAAGATTTGTTTTTCCTGCTGCTTTTTAGAATATTTCAGAATTTCAACTTTTAAGGGATTTTGGTGCCTGTATATATCTTACAAATAATAATTTATATGTGATTATATGAATAGATAACATAGACAGGAATCACATATATATAGGTTTGCAAACTATAATTATTCTCTTCACTGTTTTGCCCATGGTGGTAATTGGTGAGTGATCTCTCCCTCACTTTTTCTTGGCCCATGAAACTTTCATTATCCAGTCAGGGTCAACCTTCCTCAGGGAGACATTACTATACTCCTGAAAATGTTCTCAGGATTAGGAGAATTTTTCTCAGTTGTGCTCACAGTCAAAATTTTGAAATCTGCAGAATTGTCATAAATAATGGCTCCTGCATTTTAAATGTAATCATATTAAGGAGGTATGAAAAGCAACCTACTTGCTGTAGAAAACAAGGACTCCTGAAGTTAATTTATATTCAAACGAATATTGAAGTTCAGTTTATAGTGCATCTTAAATTTTACATCTCGTCAATCTTGCTGTGCAATCAGGCCCTTGGACTGCACTTATTATCTCATAGGTGTCCATATAGTCATCCTACCTAATGTAAAATTGAAATGAATCAGTTGGAGATTGAAAATGGTGACAGCAACACTCCAGTTTTATTGATGTGTTTTGGATCAAAAGTCATAAGGTTATTGAATTTGCATCTTGAAGCAAGAGAAACAAATGTTCTCTCCAAAAAAAAAGAAAAAGTAGTGTTTTTTTGGGAAAAAAAAAAAAAGAAGCCTATTTCTAATGGTAAGAAAAGTTAGGGGGGTTTTGGGGCGTTTTTGTTTCTTTTGTTTTTTGGGGTTTTGTTTGTTTGTGGCAGTTTTTTTGTTTGTTTTTTTGGGGTTTCTTTGTGGTTTGGTTTTGTTTTTTAATTTTTTTCTAAATACTTCAAGTATGACTGCAATGCATTAAAATTTGGCAGACTGTTTTTTCTGTGGTTTGAACAATTCTAGCATCAAGGTATAATATTTTTCATGGCTTTCTTGTCCGATACAAAATTGCAGCTACAAGAGAATTTACCTCCAATACACTGTGTAAATGTAATAGGAAACCTTTAGGGTTATGTAGCTCCATGCAGGCTAAATGGACATTTTTTTCCAATATAAATTCGTCTCTGCCTTGACTGCTTTAATCACCGAGTCTGACTCATTTAATATTTTAGTTTCCAAATCCTATTTTGGCAAGTGAGATGTGGCTTGATCTTGAAAGGACTTATGAATTTAACATTTTAGACCACTTCTTGTTTTGAGATGTAGGAACTAACCAAAAGGGAGTATCTATCTTTGCAAACTGTGAGCTATGAAATAGGTATGATTCTCATCATCTTCATAATCTCTGATCTACCTACAAGGTTTCCAGTAAGGTGATGTGGTTCCTTTAAGGGTTTGGTTTGTTTTTAAAGCACTTTGACACATTTTAAATGAATCCAAAATAATGGAAGATCATTGAATCTTCTAGTTAGCTATGAATATTCGGCTGTTAAAAAATTCATTTGTTTATCTATTTTATCTTATGCAAAACCAAACTGGAATTTAATAAAAATTTGTAAATGAAGTATCAGTGTTTCTATCACTGTAGGCTGTTAGATTACTGTATATTGTTTTTGCTGCGTAGAAGAGGAAAAAGAGCAGAGGTGTTATGGGTAGACATGGGAATAAAATGTGTTTTTCTGGTTATGAATGCAGTTATTCTCCTGTGGTGGAAGTGCCATTTTATAAACAGTAAACCTTTTCTGGTTGCCATCAGTGAAAGATGCATAGGCTCTAAAAATGTTTCATCTTGCTTAGGAATGAAATTCAAGTTCCTTTTTGAAGGAAGAAGTGAAATAATCTATACTTGATTAGGCTTAGAGATGCTCTTTATTATTATTTATTTATTTCTTACAATAGTGAACTAAGAAAGCAAAATTCTATAGAAAGGGGAAGTGACATGGCCTGAAAGCAAGCTGCTGTTATAATAATAATAATAATAAAAATAAAAATAAATTTTCCTCTTCCTTTCCCTCCTTTCAATGATCAGTTTTTAGATTCAAAGAAAGAAGTTATTATCCTTATTTATGAATTAATATCTGTAATTTCAAATACCTGCATATATTTTACTTACTAGGTCATCATAGGACAAATGTAAATACATTACATTTCTATAAAAACTAATTTTTACTTCTGCAAAAACAAAATACGCAAAAGGGAGTTTGGTTTTATTTCTGCATTATGATAATACTTCTGCACTTTATACCAGCTGATACTTCATGGGCCTTGTTTGCAGATGCACAACTAATATAAATTGCATCTCTCTGTCAGACTTTGTTTCTTAAACTGATCAAAATACTTAGTTGGACCTTGGCATTTAAATTTTTACCTTCATGACTTCTGATTTTACATCTAATAACTGCTGTTATTAAGGGTTATTTGGAGGGCTTGGAACTCAGAGAAGGGATAATGAGTCTATCTCCTCTTTGTGTTTTTAATCAGCTTTGGTTTTCACTACATGTTACATAAGAAAAGGCATAAGAAAATTTTGCATGTTCAGTGTTAGTTCTATTTATTTTCTGCTATTATTTAGGGACATATTATTTAGGTTGCATTATCAATTTTTACCATCACTAATATAGGAAAAACTAAACATGTGCAATATTCAATTCTAGGTTCAAAATAAAAATAAGAACTGTGCATGAAACTTTAAAGTTCAGGAAAATTAAGACTCTCTTAGGGATTAGTAATGAGATAAAGGTTACAAACACTGTGATCATCACACAAACTCTAACATCTTGATCTTTCTTAGGTGCCTTTGGTTTTTTCAAGTAGCAGCATTTCCGATTTATTCTTGCAGGCTGTGAAGGAAGCAGGAGCACGCTTCATTCCTTGAGAAGGTTCAAGGGCTGGTGCTAGCAGGAAGAGGACACACAGTATAATGGTGCAGGATTTTGTTTGCACTCATTGTTTTATCTTGGTTAAGTCCAGAGCCCCAGGCTCAGAGTGCTGGTGGTTCCAGGTTTAGTTCTGAGTGCAGATCCAGCCTATCTATGAGGCCCTAATACCTATTCTGGTCTTACACTGTGAGCCAGGAATCTATAACATTATATTTGCAGACACCAAAGGACACATTTACATCTTCCGAGTCAGATTAGGTCTTCTGTTCTAAGTGCAGAATTGGAAAGGCAGGGAAATGTGCCTCTCATTGGAGTAGTTTGGATAAAGATGTCTCATGTCTGAGCTGTGTAACTTGATTTGTTTGGGATGGTATTGAGGTAATACCTTTAAATGAAATTGAGCATATGCCTTTGTAGGCAGTTAGATGTGTCAGATATCCATTTGCTCAGGGATCTCTGTGTCAGTCTGTGATGCACGAGTCCTGTATCTTTACATATATCAAAGGTATCATGCTACTGTAGGCACCAAAGAGAGGATGCTGTTGCTGCCCTATAGAACTTGGTGGTAAATTATAAGAATATTGATTTAACTAGATTAAGAGAAGCTAAAGCAAGGAACAATTTACCAACCTTTATTATCAGTCTGGTTTCATAATTAACCAATTCTTCTAATTTATAAAAAAGTTATACTGCCGTGGAAGATGGTGGAACAAGTAATTGAACCCCCCACCCTTATGCAGTCAGAATTAATTTGGAGCACAGTTCTCACAGTGTCTGGTGTTTGATGTACTTGATGTTTTATCAAGCACTGAGTGGCACTGTTGTGATGATGTACTTGCTTTTAGGGAAGATGAACACGCGATAACTGGGTGACCATATTTGATGTAAAGGAAGGTTTTGTGTCTAGTTGTATTTATGTATCATTTTCCTTAGGGAGGTAAAAAAAGGCCATTAATCACAGGCAAGCAAAAAACCACTGACCGATAACACTTCAGGTAAAGTGGATTAATGAAGGATGTGTTATGTTATTTGTGGTCTAGTTTCATAGCATCTGCAGATTTTTCATTTTGACTGTCAGAAATCAGATTAAAAGGAATGAAACAATCTATTCTGATGTGCAGTTTGTTAGTTTTAATCAGATTACCTTTCCCAATCTTCTAAAATTTGGAGTTGTACTGACTACATTTCTGAGAGGCTCTGAACTGAGGTAACAGTATAGGATTTCATAGGAAATAGATAATTTTGTGCTTTATCTTTTAGAAATTTAACCTTTTCCAGAAAATGCAAATCCTTCCTCAGTGTTTCAAATGTATAATTTCAAATGTATAAATTTCATTTTTTGGAACAGACATATTTAATTTGAAAATGTAGATAAGTTTCTAAGTTTTCAGAATTTATGGGGTTTCACGATGAACTGTGAACAGCTTTGCTCTATATTTTGCCTTTTACCAGTTTATAATATTGAAAGTAAATGCTTCATTGTCTTTATGCAAATTCATACTAAAAATTGTGGGCATAAATATTTGCAAACCTTCTCTGGTATGAATTTTCAGCTTAAAAGTTGGAAATAAAATAATCCATGTTTGACTTGTACGGCACAATTATAAAATTGCGCAGACAATCAGGCTTTAACCTTTAGAGTAAGTATTTGCTTCTAGGTTGTGACTTGCTAGAAATTTTGCCAGTTTTTCTTCTGCCTCCCTAACAAATCACTGTTTAGTTTAACCAAAGAGTAGACAGTCTGTGTTTAAAGAATTGGCTTAAGAAACAGTTTCATTTTACTTTTCTCCATGGACAGAAATTAATAGATTAATAGGATTAAAAATGTAAGGCACAATGTTGGATCATCTGTGAAACACAAGTGTGATTACACAATGATGTATCATACACATGGAATTTTATTCTACTTCTTCTACACTTTTAAGTAAATTAATGTCTTGCAAAAAACTTCCATAAGGAAGTGTGCAAACTTAATTTGTCAGGCAGTCATATTGGCTTTGTTGGAGTCTCATATGGCTTGTAACTTCATGCCACAGTTTATCTGCACTTCAATTGGCTACAGAAACAGGTATTTTTCCAAAATCCACAGCCTGAGATGTACCTCGTTCTGGGTTGTATCTCATGTGATAGAATATTAGTCTCCCTCCTCTTCAAAAGGAAAAGCCAACCAACAACCCAAAAGCTCCATGAAGGTTAATTTTGCTTCTGATCACAGAACTGATCTGAGTCACAGATCCCATTGGAAAACTGGGAGATGGCTAGATCCTGAACAAAAGAATTCAGGTTGGAACAGCTCTTACAGCATTAAGATTAATCATCATATAAAATCACTTCTGTGCCTTCTAAAATCTATCCTTACAGACTCACTGTTTGGAGGTTTATCAGCAGTGAGGGTATTTTCCAAGGAATTCCAAAGCATATCACCAGCAAAAAATGTCTGTACAAAATCAAACATTGAATCTTTTATTTGCAATCAAAATGATAATTTTACTGTAGAAAAAATTAAATAATTGCCAGGGTGATAAAATGTCACTGTCTGTAGTATCATTCTTTTAAAATATAGAATCATTCTATCCAATTTTTTTTTTAATTATGATTCTTCTTTTTAAAAATATGTTGCTTTTAATTTATAATTGGCCAATTTGAACAGATAACAGATTTAGTTCAAAGAATGGAAGCTGAGAACATTAATTTTAAATTTAAAATGTCGTACAATAAAGCTAGGTGTTTTGGAGATTGAAAAAAGGTTTTCTTCAACCTTAGGTATAAAGTTTAATCCTTAGTTGTACAATTGAAGATAGTGAAAGCAAGCACTTAAAACAATGAAACAGTGAGAGGCACAATGCTTCTTATACTGAATGTTCATGGCTTTGAAATTTCAGTCATTGCTGAAGTTTCCAATACACACCATTACATATTTAGTACTTCTTGTATAACTGTAATGGGTTTAGAGTTACTAATTTTTCCCAGACTACATTTTTGTCCTCTATGTACCAGCTGCAAGATCTACACAATTTCATATTTTCTTAATTCACTTTAATGTGAACTCAATAAAAAGGCTTTTAAAGGATGGGAAGTAGTTAGCACTAATATTCAGGTAGCATAGTATGTATTTTTAATTGATAATAGCAAAAGGCAGTTTAGTAGTGATTTTTCTTATCTTTCTAAATGGTTTTCATACTCTCTAATGTACTAACAAGGTGATTATCCTTTATAATGCATTTATATTATTATGTAGGAGATGACTCCTGGTAGCATAAAATGTTTGTCTTTTTGTTTCCTCTAATGCTCCTGTTATTCCCTATTATTCTTTTAAGTATTTTGTTATTCCCTATTATTGTTTTAAGTATTTTGTGTTTACAATAATAGTAACTGAATGAATTCCTTTGCAGAACAACTGAAACACAAAAGCCCCTGTATCCCTTGTTTTTCAGAAGATATTCTCTGTTGATACAAATAATGGTTTTGCAGTTATCATAGGAGACTGATAGAGGGTTGGAAGAGTAATTATTTTACCAAGGAGTTAACAATATTATATTTTTTTCTCTGCCTAAAATAACACTGTAAACTATGCAATATTACAATGAAATGTTGCATTAGGTTGGGCTCTTTCAGATGTGTGGTAGTGCTTCTAATCCATGCCTCATGTAATAGGCAATTCTAAATCACTCTCAGCATCTTAAATATTCCTTGGCTGGAATCTAAGTAGATGTCTACAACATACACAGACCTAAAACAAAATGGTACATACATTAAAGGACATTTGTCTGCAATAAGTTCAGCTGAGTTAAAAATCTAACAGCCAATAATTTTGATCCATTTCCAAATTGTATGTGTCCCCATTGAGAAAAAGGAGCCTTTTCAGGTCAGCTACTTATATAACAGATTTTTGTAAGGTAATAGGCTTGTCAAAAGCCTGTAAGAACTTGATACAATTAGTAGGGTAGTAAGAGTTTATATTAGATATTTTTGAGAGTGTTTGCATTTGGTTTCTGTGGTTAGAAACTAGAGGAAAAAGACATTATGCCATTTATACTTAGGAAATGGATATTTTAGGTATATTTGAATGTTTCTTAGTCACCATTCGTGTACATATAAAGTAAAATCAGCTTTAAAATTCCCACTGTCTTTATAGTGCTTCAGTCTATCTCCATTATATATATGCGCTGTGTTTCTTCTAAAAAACTTTTGTGCAATTTCAGAGAGTCTGTCCTAAAGGTATTAACTTTTAAAAGTGTAATAAATAATTACAAAGTAACTGGAAATCCCTGACTTTACACAGTTGCAGTTCATTGCCCCACAGCAACCTTAAAATGATCTATTAAATGATTATTAGAAACAATTAATTATACCAGAGAACTCTAAGAGCTCAAATGTAATTTCATGGTTATAATTTTCTTGTCAGGTAATAAAACGGGATGAGCTTGGCAAGGAACCGTCTGACTGCTCTGTGTTTGATTTGCTGAAATATGATGATTATGACAGTGACAAGCACCTAGCTCTAGAAGAATTCTATAGAGCTTTTCGTAAGTACCAAGATTAGCCTGTTCCTTGAGTCTTATTTTCTCTTTCTTTCTTTGTTTTTCTAAATGGTGGTATTTTGATTCTTGAAGCCTGAAATATCTGGATGCTGTACTTAAATTAGTGCAATTTAATAGTCATGGGATAGCAGAAAACTTTCTAGCAGAAATCAGTGATACCCAGTAACTTCTAGATTTATGAAGGATTTTGGTAATGGAGAATTCATGGATAATCTTTTTGATGCCAACATGCATTGATAGGTCTGTGCTTTACACAAGTGGCAAGTAGTGTGGTCAAGACATAATCAATGGAACCAAAATACCTCCCAGCACCTTTTGTTTATGGGTGCTGATAACAGCATTTTTGACAAACCCAGCAATAAATGTACCACTTCTATTAAGTGCCTTATGGCTTTACAGGACTCGGAAGAAGATAAAGATTTGTGGTGTAGTTTTGCAAGGTATTTGTTCTCTGGATGCCAGAGAGGTCTCAGGACAAATGTGTGTTGTACAAACAAACATCTTAACCAAACTACTGGGTTAGCAGACAGAAGAAAGATGTTAAGAGCTTTTATACAGTATGTTAAAGGTAATATCCATATATTAATTGTATCCAGATAAGAACTGATGATTTTTCACTCTTAGCTACCTCAAATTTAAGATTCAGTCTTGAAATCTGACTTTGCTTTAAAAGTTGTTGCTCCAAACTCAGTAACATGGCAGCACAGAAGATCAAGTTTGTCCTAAATTCTTTTTATAATTGACTAGTCCATTAATGTATCTTCATTTTGAGTAATTACAGACTGTTGCTTTAGTCTGGTTGTACTTGATCATTGGGCAGATGAGCACTCAGCCACTTTAGGTAATATCAAATGAAAAAGGGGTGAAAAACTGCTTAAAGTTTTAAACTATAAAGTAGTGAATTGATATGAGAAAAAAAAAATAGCTGCATGGAAAGCAAGAAGAATAAACATGAAATGAATAATGAAGACAGACTGTCTGAAAGTATCTTAGTTTTGACCATTGAATAAGATTTTTATTTCCCTGGAAGTCTTTCAGAAAGTGTGATTTTGTGATGCAGCTTAGCTGAACAAATTACTTACTGCTCCTAAAAATAACTTGATCCTGCTTCCTGAGGTTATCTGACTGCCCTTCTTGCAGTGTCCTAGCAGTCACAGTCTCTCCTCTGAGTCACTTACTAAGTCAGCAGAAAAATATTCACCCTCCACATCCCATCCCAATCCTGTTTTGTGACCTGAATTGATTAAGTGAAGGGTCAGACCATAACTCATGCAAAAGAAGTATGAGCACAGACAAGAAATAAGGTGGAGGAAGAAAATGGGAGATATTAGGACATTGTGATGGTGAGATAAACTAATTCAGCTGCAGCAGCAAAACACTAGGAAATACCTTAATTTCTTTTTTAAAGGTTGTGATACAAGTTCAGCTTACAAAAATGAACAGAATTATATAGCATCGATAGAGACACAAAATTTAGCTATGATTATATGGCTAGATGTTGTACTTCTAGATTGTGATTAAGTGCATAGATGTAGAAATTGATATAAGCCTTTATCATATACAGCAATGCAATAAGGTTGAAGACATGTTTAAAGCACTAGCATGGTTTTTGCAAACATTGTTTTAAGGGAAGCATAACATTGTTCTTCCAAATAAGACTTTGATGTGTCTCTGAGGGACTATTTTGTAGAGTTGTAAAACTCCAGACATAAGAATAGCTTTTTGTTATATATTTTTAATGGACTTTTGAATACTGAAAATAATTTCCACATGCTATGTTAAGCATTGCCTTAATATGAATGTTAATGAAAATGTTAGCTTATATAAGATTAGGAATCATTTAGGTTTCTTTGTTGCAGCAGAGTAGTGGAGAAGGCCCTATTTAAATCTATGAGGCTGTCTTGGAAGATGATTTCTAGAGTAAGGTTCATTCTTCTATGTCATTAACAAAACTTAGATGCTTTCATTGCATATTGAAAAATAAAACCTAAAACCACCTGCGACTTCAATGTATGGTGTGTGGCCAGAAAAACCAAAGCAATGTGGCACAATACTAGGTTCTGTAATGAAGATAAAATAAATACTCTTGAAATAAATTTGAGGATTAACTAGTTCCATTTCATTTTATCTCCAGAGAGTTTGAATTCAGTCAGCTTGACCTATCTCACCAGCATTAACAAAAATGATATAATGCTATAAAAGTACACTAAGCTAAGCAGAACCGAAACAAATTGAACGTGGCACCCAGTCACTCTAGAGATGAGTGCTCTTATGGCTAAGCAAGGTGACACAGAGCTGAAACCACACAAGCCACGCCGACCCCAGGTAAAGCAAATGTGACAGCCCCTCTCCACAGGCCTGTGTTGTTTGCCTATGGCAAGGCTTGTGAGATGTTACTACTCATGCCAAGTCTGGATTTACCAGGATACAAAGAATTAATATAGACACACATACATGGAACCAGATCCATGTATGGAATTGTACCCAAGAAGCACTCACAACACATCTTCCACACACTATTCCACAAAAAATATCTCTTCAATTAAGTATTCACCTGCAGTATAATAAAACATTTTAATTTTCTTTAATAAAGTGACATAGGAATGTTGCAAATTATTTATTCCAAATAGAAATAAACCTGTTTTTTTCCCAGAGTTTTCTTTAAGTACTTCAAATTCTCAAGTTCTCTTATACTGTATGATTTATTATTTTTCTTATTATGTTACATAATATGTTGTAACTTCAAAATTATGCCATTTTACAATATGGAAAAGATAATTTTTCACCAGCTCAGACACTTTCAAACATCTAGAACAAATAGAAAGCAAAACAGGAAATTATTTTTCCAAATTATTTTAGTAACTATCTAATGAGTAAAAGATTATAGCTGAGTAATGGTATTTGAAGAGGATTGTCTTCCAAAATATTATAGTATTATTTGTTATTTGGAGACATCAAAAGACTTAGCCATTAATTTAAATTAAAAAGTGCCTCTAGAATTTTTGACCTCTTGCACGACCCCATCAATTGAACTTGACAGGATGTTTTTCATGGTGTCTTCATTCCTTTTTTTATCTACTATTTATTGTACATATGGAACCTAATCTCAGTTTAATTCCTGCTATTCCCAGTGGAGTTGCCTCTGTCCCTAATTGTAGTGAAGTGGTGGATTTCAGAAATATCAAGTTCTCATTGAAGTTTGTGCAGCTGCTAGAATATTTGTTACCGACTTCTATTCACTCAAAATGGCAGTGAAGAAAATTTGGCTTTGCAATGATGGAAAAATTGATCCTATTCAAAGCTTCCACACAGAATTCAAAGGAGTTGTTTGTTTGTTTTGTTATTTTTTATTTGTGTAACAGAAATTGGAGTCATATGAACACAGAAATGTTAAGGCTAGGAGGTGGAGGTTGGGCAGGCCATCAAGGGTCACAGTGCCACAGTTTTTATGCATGGCAATACCACAAGGCTTCTTTTCAAGCCAGTTTGTACCTAGCACTGCTAAAATATAAAATGTACAGTAGTTAACAAAATATCCTTTAAGTCATATTTGAATTTGATCACCATTAAAGAGGTCTCATTTTCTAAAGGTAATTGTCCACCAGCGTTCTCAAGCATAGATGAACTTATGAAAAAGTAGTAAGTAGGCTGGAGAAGGTGTGAGAGAAGGCATAAGGGAAATTTGTGTCCTCAGCCTTGGCCTAAAAAGAGGACAGTAATAATCAAAGATACTAATAGGGTGCACTTTTCTAGCTGTGATTTCAAATAGTATTTAAAAACACTTATGTAGGACTTTGAACCAGGATTAAAAAATCATCTTCACTGTGGTGTTGAACAAACTATTCTATTAGTTTCTTTTTAAAGAATTAGGCAATTGCATTTTGTTTAAATATGAATGCCTACTTTTGGAATTAATTATCAGTCTTGTTTCATTAGCATTTGCAGGTAGGATTTTTTTTCATTGGCATACTTGATTAGAAATTTTCCTGACAAATACCAGCAATTCTATTTTTAATGCAAGCAGTAGAAAAGGAACCACCTTAAGGGCAAAGAAGAAACATAGGCTGTTTTAGAGGTATTAATATGCACATAATTTTTATCTGTATATGTATACATACATATACTGCTTTCTTGTATTCTGGGATTTACTTTTGACACTCTCATTTTATCTGACAAAATGGATACACATTAGACTGGACAGCCAAATGTAAATAACTATGTGCAATGGAACAAAAAAAAAAAAAAAATCTCTTTCCCCGTTCAGAAGGTCAGATGCTGAGGCAATAACAAACATAGAATATGTGTGAGAGGGTGCTCTCAGCCTTGAACGTATCTGCCAAGCTCAGGAGATGAAGGTGCTACTGGCTTCTGTAAGGTTCTACCTTTTGGCAAGACCACTGTGGTTTTCTGGGTATAGGCTGCTTTCACTCGTATTGTGAGGGGTAATTTTTGGTGCTGTAACATCTCTCTCCTAATTATTTGTCTGCTGTATTCTGTAACAGTTTAACTAGATCAATAGTGTGTGCAGAGAGGAGCCTGCAGAATGACTTCCTCTGACACAAGTGGATGAAGCAGAAAGTTTAGCTCTAGCTAGGTTTTGGGAGCTAGGGAATGAGGGAATCAGATAGTTCAGTCCTCCACTGCTTTGGCCACACCATGTAAAATTATGTCCTAAAAGTGATACAGTTCCATCTTAGAGTTTTGTTTTGCTTCTCTGCATTCCTTCCTCAGCCAGTCCCATGCTAAAGGATTTTTCTTCAGCAAACCTTTTTTTAGACAGGGAAGGTTAATTTTAACTTTTTCTGAAAGGGCAGGCAAAACCCTAAGATGAAGGAGCCAAACAAAAGCTGAAAAGGGTGTGGAATACAGTTTATATGTTCTATAAACGAAATCTCAACCAGTGTGCTTCCCTTATTTTTCAAGAGTTTTCTTTCTTTGGTTAATGTCTCCTGTGGTATCAAGATAATTTTGTGTTCGCTGTACAT